TCAATTATATTAAAGTACCTACTACCACCACCGTTTCCTCATTACTGAAACATGTTATAGATATATAGTTTATTTTTTTTTGTTTTTATAAAATGAGAATGATATGTTATCATTTTAATAATTAATACGAGAGTAAAATATAAAACATAGTATTTTGTTATAATTTAATTATAAAGTATTTAAATATTATAACAATATAATTATAAAAGAAAAAAAGAAAACAAAAAAGGTTGACAAGTTTTAGAAGAAAATGTAAAAAACGTTGATCTCCATTTTGTATGCAAGTTAGTAGTTTCTTTTTTCTTAAAGGGTATATATTATTTATATTATTATTATTATTACATACTTCTCTACTTTGACTTGTACGGACTCACGCCGTGTGTGTAAAGATTTACACTAGGGGCACGATTACACTTTGAAAAGCAGTCTCCTGGTGTTGCAGAAAAGTAATTTACGAGTTTCGTTGTATGTATGTATGTGTATGTTTATGTGTGTACGCTTCCCCTTTCTTCTAACAAGAACGTATATGTGTGTCAGCGTGCTACGTGATAGCATGCGTTTTAATGTTACGAAGGGGTGTGTACGCACGTGTACATGTATGTATATGTGTTCTCTGTAACTCATGCTTCTAACGTAAAATAATAAGCGTGAATCATGTTCGTTTCTCTTCAATGCATTACTTTTGTTGCTGTGATTTAAAATATCTACTGTTTCAACAATGAAACTATAAGATACATTGGCATATTTATTATCATAGTTCACATTGATTTATGCATTTTTGTTGTATTTTAATTTATTTTTATTATTCTACAATTTATGCAAGTACAATTATTGACAAAAAAAAATATGTATGTTGAGTAAATATTTGCACTATTATTCTTTATTTATTTGTATAATAAACAAATATAATATCTTAAATAAAATAAAAGTGAAATATATATTCGTAAATATAAAATAATGGAAAGAGAGAAAGAAAGAAAGAGATGAATAAATGTGGAACAGGAAAAGAGCAAAAAAAAAAGAACAACTATAAATTATGACTATTTTTTAATATTGTTTTTATTTTAACTTTTATATACATCCTTTTTTCCAACACAATATATCAAATGACTTTTAGTTTATTTTTTTTTTTTTTTCAATGCTTTTGAATTGACATACCCCTTGTGTAGAACCGAAAGAATAAAAATAGATGACGATTGATTATGGTCCATTCATAGGGTTTTTTTTTGATAATACCTCAATCAAAACGAGAAAAATTTTGAATGCAGTTTTTCTCTCTCAGTTTTGCAAAACTTTAGAAATGTCTTGTATTTTTCACGCTTTTCAGTTTCCTCGCAAACGCGCGTATTTTTGAACAATATAGGAAGAGTTTATATTTCAGTCGGGGCCGGTGTAGAGATTTATATATATATATCTTTTTTATCTTCTCTTCTTTTTTTTTATTCTTTTTTCCATTCATTTGTTGATCGCATAGATTTTTTCTGCTCTTTCTCAACCGTATATTCTCAAATTTGTAAAAACTCGTCCAGTTCGATATATAGACCGTTTATTTTGATAGTGGTGTTAGTCCATTTTCTGTTTAAGGTTTGCATATTGGTTAATTGAAAAATATTCATTAATTATATCAAGTGTTCAATAATGTTTATATTAATTTATCGATATGTTATTTGATTATATACATTACTTTTAGGATAATTTAACTCAAATAATGTATATTTATAGGGACTGCAAATGGACTTATATTATTTTCAAAATAAACGGTTCATATATACAACTTGTTTTTGTGCGGTCCTTTTTTTTATGCGATTTTATTTTTGTTCGATTTGTTTTGTGCGATTTTTTGTATGCGGTATATGAATTCCAAAGGTGTTTTTACAATATGATTCAACGATTGTTTCGTATCAGAAGTTGAAAAATACATGGTCAGAGTTGGGTCTTCCTTTTAAAATGTTGCTAATTGTTGATAATGCACCTGGCCATCCTTGTTTAGAACATCCTAATGTACAAATAGTGTTTTTACCAATAAAAATCTTTTTTCGCCATAGAATAAATGGACACACGGAAAATAATCGAGCGTTTTAAGCGAGATTTTTAAACGAAGAACAAATTTGCCCACGATTCGTCGATATTTTCTTTCATGTTTTATACTTTTTTTCTGTCTTTTTATTTTTCTTTTCTTTCTTTTTTTTTTTTTTTTTTTAATTCTTTATCGAGATATCTTTTATGAGAGAAGAGGAAAAACAAAAAAATTAGATTCAAGTGGAGCTTTTAGCGAGAGATCTGGGCATACGTATAATATACTTACCATTTTCCCGTTTACTTGCTTTAATAAATAACATTTTTTTAGTAGTTAACGATAAAGTGAAAGCCCCATCACAATGTTGGAGAAATAATACATAAAAAATTATTCATAAAAAGCGCTTGTGCCGAGTGAAGTACATCGAGGTCCGTTTCTTTGATGCCATACACACAGCAACGGATACACACACACACACACACACACGACGACAGTGACAAGGTTCTTCATGTGCGTTATCTCACGCTTTTACTTCGATTGACTTGTTGCATACAACGGGAAGATGAAAAACATTGTTCTTGACTTTCACAATCATTGTAAGGAAATTTTTATGAGTTCATTGACAATAATTAATCCACTAGGATCTTATCATCATTGTCATTGTCTTCACCTTCGTATTCAAATATTATTAGCTAATTAAAAAATAAGTAATTATGTCGTGCCACTTTGATTTATTCATAATTAATTTCATATAATAATAATTATTCGGATTATTAATATCCATACGAAAATACGCATCATTTTTATATTAATTACAAGCTTAATTATGAATCAAAAGTGTTATAAAAAATGATCATTGTGATTTGTAAAATAATCTACAAATTTTTTGGCCCCCATCTAAATACTTATACGCATCATTTTTATTTCCAATTAATTATTTAGATTTCCAAGTTATTCATAAAAAAAAAATCATTATCGCGAATGTTTATAATGTATTGATATAAATCTCATCGAAAAAAAGTAATCCTCTTGATGTTTATATATATATAAAAAAAAAAAAAAAGAAAAAAAAAAAAATGATATACATACGAGCAAGAGGAGGAACGGAAAAAGGAAAATATTCAAAGATCACGGGGAAAATCAGTTTGCCGTAGCAGTAAGCTTATTTCGAAGCACATCGAATAGTAATTTAAATGTCATAAATATTCGAGTAAAGGATGGTAAAACGATTTTGTGAAAGTAGGTAGAGAATTGGATTTTTGAAGTTTTCCTGCCCTACCTTTAAATTTACTAACTTTTCAACATTTTCGAACGCTTTTAGAGTCAATATTAAATTACACAAGTTTCACTTGGTCATTAGTTATTTATATTTATATAATCAGTTTATCTTTGTCAAAAGCTAGACAACTTTTCGTTATTCCTATATATATATATACATAAATAAATGAACGAATAAATTCAAAATGATGGAGACTGAATTTTATATAACAAGGTTAACACTTTGCATCTCGCGGTAATAATTTAAGGTAAAAAGCTTTCTTTTCTTTTTTTTTTATGACGACAGAAATATATATATATATTCTCCCCCTTTTGTTCGTTTCTTTTCCTTTTCTTCTTTTTTTTTCTTTAATAAATAGATAAATAAATAAACTAATTCAAAATCGGGATTAAATTTTGTAAAATAAGAGATACTCTTTAGATCTCACGGTGAAAATTTAAGATAAAAGGGTTTTTTACGTTGACAGAAATAAAATTCTTCTTCCCTTTTGTTGTTGTTTCTTTATTCCTCTTTTCTTTCTTTCTTTCTTTCTATCTATCTGTACACTCGTGTACGTGTGTGTGTGTGTATTTTCTCAATTTTTCTCTCTTTCTCTCTAACCTTGTCACAAGTCTTTTAACTCGTTCTTTCCTTTTGATGTACATTTACACGTTTTACTGTACTTTATTCTCTTTTCTTCAGTAAAATCGATTTCTTCTGTCCCTTGTATATACATATATATATGTAAGCACGTAAATGATTTTAAAACGATTGCTTTTTTCTTTGTGAAACGTATGTTATCTTCCATTATTTTTATTCGAAATAATCCATTGCCGTTAATTTAAATTATAATGTAATTATTTAAAATGAATTTTATTTTATTTCACAAATATAGAACAAGTATGTTATAGTTAAATTTTGAATAAATTTGCAAGTCTAACAACGTAAACTAATCAAACAAATACTAAAGTATAGTTAATATTATAGTAAGATTATATTCGAACTTTGCACAATTGGCAATTCCGAAACTTCATTTCAATTATGAAAGTTCCCATATATATATATATATATATAAAAAAATCATTTATCGTTATTCTAACTGTATTATTATTTTTTTTCTCTCTCTCTCTATAATACGAAAAAGTTTATCGCGAAATTCGTGATCGTTGGGGGATACAACAAATAGTTGTATCGAATTGTACACAACTTTTCAAAACAGTTTATTTTTCCTATTTCGATATATATTCTTTGCCAATCGATAGAAAACCACGAAACAATTTTTACGAGGAGATCTTGTATAAAGTCGCGTAAAAGACCACGGTAGAGGGATTGAAGGGGAGGGGAGGGGGAAAAAGTAATAAGGAAATAAAAAAAAAAGAAAATAAAACAAAAAATAGTAAATAACAAGATATACAAATAGCATGTTGATCGAATAATATCTAATGCGAAAAAGATTCGTGAGAATGTATGTACGTGTAATGTGTGTATTTATATACTACATAATGTACACGTATATATATGTATGTATTTATGTTACGTAGGGAAGACTCGCATCCAATCGCAATCTTTTTATGCAAATTGCTGACAAACGGTTGAATCCGTAATTGCGAAGGGAGATCCATGAGATAGTAGTTCTTATCGATTCTCTTTTATACATTACATCGATCTAACTTGTAACAAATGTCAGCTTTTAAATCTCTTGATTTTTTAACATTTTTGTTGCAGAACGTAAATCGTATAAAACACGCACACGGATATATACGGCACGTATGCAAAAAACGATGAACGCTACGGTGACCATTATTCTCATTTGTAAGTACAAAATAATTATTATTAATATATATATATATATATTGTGTATAATATTGAAGAAAAGAATTTGAGGACGTAAAAGAAAAAAAAAAAGTCGAAAAAAAAGTGACGATCGATTGTTATTAATATAAATATATATTTTCTTAATTCGATAACAGAAATGATTTTGTTATTTTGAAATAATTTTTCTTTGAGATATACTTTGATATGTTTTTTGACAAAAAAAAAGAAAATGATTAAGTTTAATTAAATTTATTGTGGTGATAAATTGGTTACATAAATTTTAACGTAACTTGAGGCTATCTTTCGTGAATGTCGAAAAGAAAGAAATTTTCGGTTTTTTTTTTCTTTTTTGAGTACTCCAGTCGAGTTCAATAACCGTCAGAATCGATCCTCTTAGGTAATATATTACAGCATCCATAATTCATTTGAAATTTAAGCGATCGTATCATGTTACGTGTATGGTTTACAAAAAGAATATTATCGGCATCCTGTTGTAATAGTTATCAATATCATCATCATCATTTTGATTATTATCGATTTCGTGAAAGTCGATCAACAATTCCGAAAGTTCAACTTACGTCAATCGAATTGAATATTTTTGTTCTTTTTTTCCTTTTTTTATTTCAACATTTAAACGTAAACTTTTCATTAAGCATTTTCAACGAACATGATTCACGATTCTCAAAGAGAAAATAATTATAGTTCGCGTTCATACAGTAGCACATGTATATTTACTTGCGATATCATGTTTGCGAAGCACGAACTATGATCTTTTTCTAAGAAACAATCGTTACTAGATAGTAACGATCGTGTCTTACGTGCGTCGATTATTATTCCGTTCGTTGGAAAGATTTGCAACACGATTTCGAACAATAATAACCCGAATTCGTAATTTATTAACAACAGATGTTGATACAGGATAGAAGGGGAAGAGATCATTGTATCATTTCTCGACCGGCTTATTTTCTATGTCAAGGCTACGCTATTTACTATTATCGTTTAATCATTCTCTATCGTGCCATTTCTATTTTTTTTTTTTTTTTACATTAATATTTTACTACAGTACTTTTCTTTATTTATCTTTACAATCGATACAAAACACGTGATCCTAATTGTTCTCACTCTTTCTCTTTTTGATGAATTAAATATTTTAATATCCTAATTTATTATTATTTTATATTAATATTTTATTATCGTTATATAATATTGAAATTTTTATTATATAATTAAAATTAAAATAATTCAGTATGAAATAATTATTATAATTAAATTCGAGGATTCTATGGTAAACGAATAAAAAGTAATTGTTATAAATAATAGAACAATTGTTGGTCAGGATTTCTCGGTATGATTTCAAGGACAATTTTGTTTTCGCAACATTCGAGGAAGTTCCGTTATTCTCTTCGCAAAATTAGGATGCACTTCGAGCGTAACGATCTTTCAAATGCGATAAAGAACAAAACGATCCCGAACGATGACCTCGGACCTGGGTTAAAACCAATGAAGAAACAATTCGATGGTTGTTGCCCCCCTTTTCGAAGACCTTTCCTTCTTCGATTATGTAATCGTTTTGTTCTTAACAACAACAACAACAACAACAACAAAATATCTACTAAAACGAATGCAAATTATTTTCTCAAAAATTAACAATTCGAATCAAAAATATCTTCCTAGTCGAATAATTATTTTTATTTTTCTATTATTTTTATTCCTGTTCTTTGGAAAATCATCCATCTTGAATGAGAGGTACTCGTCTCGTTGCTTAAAAAAAAAAATTAATAATTAAGAAAACGCGTTAATAACAATATATATATTTTTTTCTATTTTTATTCTCTCTCAAAAAGAGAGAAGAAAAAAAGAAAAAAAAAGAGAAAAATATTAGAAACAAAAGAAAGTATATGGAATTCGATAGACCGTTTCTCGTACTTTTTGGAAGATAAGTTTCCGTGGACGGTGAGAAATTTTCTCGAGTGAACTTTTGCGCTACGAACTCATCAAATTCCATAGCGCCTTCAGGGACGAGGGAGGGAGGAGAGAAGGGGGGGGGGKGGCGTACGAAGTTTTCCATTCTGTTTCAAGGAAGAAAATAAGGTGGTGGTAGAACGGAAGGGTGGTAGGACGGAAGGTAAGCCTTCGAGACAATTTATTCCATGCTCTTTCCACTTTTCTGATCGATAAAACGGAAAATGGCCCTGGCAACGCAAAATATTAGTTCGATATATTGGTTGAAAGGTTACAACTTTATTTTATCCTATTTTAACTTTTACCTCGCCAACGGCTAGTATCCTCGATGTTTATACAGACAACTAGATTTAAATATATGAAAACATCATTTCATTATGATTCATAGATCAATCGGTGTATAATCAAATTAATTTGTATAGAAATTTTGCAATTTTTTTAAATAATTCTATTCTTATAGTATAAATTATAAAGAAATATAATAAATAATTAATTAGTGAAATAAATAAATTCTTATATATATATTAATCCACAATTTAATAATCCAGTATAGAAAATAACGTTTTAACAATTTTTCTTGTTAATGTACTCAATTTGAATATAAAAATAAATTAAATAATAATTAAATGATAATATAGTATTATTTTATTTTTTTTTTGTTTTTAATTTTTGTTATACCCTTACTAATTGTTGGGGAATATTTTTCAAGGAAGTATAAAGATACTTAGATTAGAAAATATAATAAATTCGATACGATTGGGATCTCTAATTCGAGGACATCGTTTATACTATAAAACTCATCTTGACGAAGGTGCTACCTTCGAACGGTAATCCTTGACTTTTACTCATACTACTCTTACTAAAGGATGTCACGACGCTCCCACGCGATTCCTCTCGATTGCACATCTCAAGTATACCTACTCGATATTATGGTACCATACATTTGTCATCGATCGAATTAATATCCATGAGGAAATACTATTATTTTTTGTTTCATTCCATATTTTTTCAATTTAATTCAAATTTGCATCTACCATTATAATTATTATTACATTACTTTAAATTGAATAAAATTCTACTCAATTGATTACTAAATTATATAATTCAATTAATTAATCACTAATATTAATATGAAAATAATTTGGACAATAATTTATATACAATTTGATTTTAAATCGAAATTAAGTGAAATAAAATCATTTGTATACATATTAATATAATGTATACGTTTATTTATATTTTATAATGATTTTAAATTTATAGATCAGTAAATGAAATTGTTACAGTTTAATACGCATACACTTTAATAATATATAAAATATAATTAACACATGATAGATAGAAGAGTTTCCATTCCATTTGTATTTTCTTTCTTTTTTTTTTTTTTTTTTGAACCAATCGAAATATCTTTACACACATTTATATCGAAATCGAAAGCAATCGAGGTATCACGATATTATATCATGTTCTTCATCGTAACGTAAAACCAATAGGAATTAAAGTATCAAGAGACTTCGATCGATCATTTATGCACACGTGTAAAAGTGAAAGGATGTAAGATTGCAAATAAAATTCATTCATATTGATATTTATTTATTTATTTCTAATTGAAAATTTATTAATTAACACATTATATTATATAAAAATAATATTAGTTTATAGATAATATATATTTAGTTTATAAAATAAATTTAAAAAAATAAA